GCGTGGGCCCGTGAAACGTGTACGAACGAGATCTGAAGTAGTTTTTCTTCTTAATCTAGTTGATGCCTCGGGCAATGCCAGGGCCCGTGAAACATAAAAAATATATTATTTAAAAATCTAATATAAAACGGATACATTCAAAAAATTTAATAAGATTTCATTAGATATCAGAAATACATGCATAATAATTTAAGAAATTGAAATTGAAATTGTGACATGGTTATGTGCGCTAAAATAAGTATTAAGGTAATAACTGTATTTTTTAATTAAATAATAAATTGTTTAAAAATCTCGAGCATTGTTTTTGATTAAATAAAATTTTTTAAATTTAGGTCATATACTTTTTAAAGTAATGAAGAAATCCTTTAAGTGATAAGTTTATTGGTTAACATAATTTATACTATAATGTAAAATTTTTAATTGTCTATTTGCACTAAATATAATATTTATTAATGACTTAGTGGGAGATATGACCTAAAAATATTAAAATGGACAAAGTCCATGTAACATTGAATAGTTTTCAAGGATCCACTAAAAAAAGTCAGTAAACCCAAAACCAATAATGAAGTGAAATGGAACCCTTCTGTTTTAAAAAAATTAGTCTGCAATATATATGAGAGATGCATGGAGAAGAGAAGGGCATCGTTTCTTTTTTGTTTGTGTAAGGAAGCCTTGTGTAAGGAAACTTTATCTTATGTTTGAGATGAGGGGAATGGAGGGGAGAAAAGGAGAATTATCTCCTTCCATGTCTCTCCATTCTCCTCCCGTTCTTTTCTTTCATTTTGATAAAAAAAACTAAATTAAGTAACTAACTTTAGAAAAAAAAATGAAGGAAAAATTTCCCCTCCAATCTACTACAATTCTTTTTGATAACCGAATAAAAAATTTCTTTCCCTTCCTCTCCACTCTTCTCAACCCAAACATACTGTTAATGAAAAGCTCTCAAAGCTTCTAAAATAAAAGTAGACAAAAGAATTCAGTTTTATCATAAAAGCATATTTGATCTTAGTATCTCAATTGACAGAAAGATGTTTTGATATGAACACAAGAGTCCATATATATTATAAGGAAGTTCAGGAATCATTATAAAGACAAATTGCGCGCAGGCATCATTAATGAGGAATGTTAGAATCATTAACCAAACTTTGAGTAGTCTTAGGATTAAAAACAATCTTGTGTGCATGGGTGATAGGCTTAAAAGGATATTCATTCAAAGAAACTCCAAAATTTGAAATTTTATAAACTTCTTCTTCATTAAAAGCATCATTAAAATGCAAAGAAGGCCTAAGAGTTGCTTCAATCCTCCTCCTAAACAAAACATGTAGAAGTGCTATAAGTGAGAAATCTCTAAAACCAAACTTTAGAATATTGAATAAAAGTCAAAGACAAACATAAAATGCTCACCAATTCATCCAAAAGAAACATTTTAATAGTCTCACATAGTTTTGGCTATCAAAAATTTTTTTGCCTCCAAAGCCTAATAACCCTGAACTTTATCCTTCATTGCTCTTTCAAAAGATTAAAATCTTTAATAAAATCAAACCTTCTAACCATTAAGATCTATATACTTTCTTAGAAACTAAAAAAATATACTTGTATGAAATTATATATATATGTATATGCAGAAGAGACCTTTTAAATGACATGCATTTATTATATAATTATGACTAAAAATTGGGAAAATAAAAGGCAATAAGATGATGAATGTACATTACCGACGCATTGAAAGTCTAAGAGAAACAAATGGGGCCAAAAAATACAGGAACCAATACAACAACCAATAGTTTCATTGGAATGCTAAGTAAAATCAAAATGGAAAATCAATTGTGCATAATAAATAGGCTATCTAGAGAAATTTAGTAATAGCTATGAATATTTTGATTTTAATAATAATAAT